GTCGCTTTCTGCAAAGCTTCGTTGTTTATATTTCTCTTTTGCTGCGATTGATTCTGCGTCCTTGGACGAGCTCACTACTTTTGCAGATCAGAGAGATGAGTCATAGGGACAGGGAAGACGAGTTTAGATGACCATGCAGTGCAGCCGGGGTTCTGCATGCCGCCACTTGGGGTCAGTGTGACAACGTGATACAAATCCCCTCAGGCACCTCTGGAAAGTATGGAACTGCTCTTCCCCTTAAGAGTGCCTGTGTACAGCCTCTACAGTTTTTTTATATTTCCATAGATGTTCTTTTATCCCATTACTTAATATGCAGTGGTTTGGCAGTCAGTTTTCTCATCTGTCCTTTTACTTATAACAGTGCAAAGAAAGGTCTTGAGGGTTCATGACAAAATATTATTAAGATGCAACACTTTTCTTTAATAAATTTTAATTAGCTAAACAAAGTGCAGTTGTGTTGTTTGGCTTTATTTGAACATTCTTAAGCAATTTAAGTTGGTTTTGAATTTCAAGTCTGTTTTGAGAACTGGAAATTTCATTTCCATGCTGTCTGCTAGTGGTGCGAGTTTCCCCCATTTTTTTTTTTTTGAACTTATCAAAAATATATATCTCCAGATTAAGAACAATATTAAGACGAGCAAACTTGAGACGTTCAGCATCTCTGTTTGACTAAAGGATGCTGATGCCAAATGTTCATATGAGAGACCTAAGAGTTAAGTTCCAAGCCAAACAAACCCCAAGTTCAATTCATCTGTCGTGTCCTTCCAGGGGATTTATATGGCACAGCCTCTGTGGCCAACAAAAGCTTCAAAATGAGGAGACAGTTAATTAAATGGGGCCGGACGATGAGAGAAGGATCCTTTCATTTTTTTTATATTAGCATTGGTCAGTTTTTCTTTCCCCGTCTTTCTATCAAAGACTTTTCCTGATCTTCTCTGTTGAAGTTTGAGCTTATCATATATGCCTAGTTGGATCCACTGCTTCATAAGTACACATGTGATGGATGCATCATAATTTTTCTATGCACCTTTCATTATTGTATGTAAAAATTAACCTGTTATAATTTATTAGGCCACTTAGGTTGCCTAATTGTGTTCTTATACTAGGTTACCTGAACTGTGGTTTTAATGTTTGTCATGCTTTTGATGACATGGCAGAGCTGAAGAAGTGCTCTGCCATTTATCCCCATTTATCCCAAAAAGCACATTAGCAAATATGTTAATGATTATATTTAGAGCAACTTGTTTGTAATATTCTTGTGTCACAAGAAAGATGGACATAACACACCCACTTTCATGAAGCCACATCTTACACAAACATCTTTTAAAAACGAAAGATATTTGTGTGTGTGATTAGATTAGCTAGATTATATTTTATAAAATAAGATTTTTCTCCAAAGGATTCACTACAACTTGAGCTTAAGGTCTCGTACAGCTGTCATAGGTGAAAAGAAGCCATTGATTAAAATGAAATGATATCTTAGGAATTGTAAGTGCTGTGATTTATTTGCAAAAGATGGTTTTAAGAGGGTGTGCTTATGTCAGTCTTTCTTCCCTTTTGTGGTCTTTTTTTGTTTTGTTAGTTTAATTGTTTAGTTTTTTGTTTCTTAATTGTTTCTTAATTATTTTCAATAACCACTTATACTTTTCTCATTGCTTCTTACATTTTATTGTTAACTCTTGTTTGCCCATATTCTTTTTGAAGGTGAGGCTAGTGCGCTCCAATCCCCCTAGCCCGCAGTTCAAAGCTTCTTTCGACGCCTCCTACCAGGTGTACAAACTCTACCAGATGGCCATTCACAAGGACCCTCCTGACAAACCCACCGAGAGCCAGGTCAGAGGGTGGGAGGCATAGGTCAACCTTTTCTAGGGGTACCCAGGGAGGGAGGGAGAGGGTCGACAAATGTGGGGACCTAGAAAGGAAATAAAAGGCTTTGATGTATTCCATTTTTGTACTTATTCATACAGGAATATCATTCAATTCAATCATTTAAGCATCATTGCATTTGTATAACTGAGTTCGGTCACTGAAGTTTTAGAATTAGACTTGAATGGATAAATAATTTGTGTTGGAACTTTGAAACAAGAATTAAGTTAAATAGTCTTAAGCATCTGCTTGAATGAGGGGGAAAGTGAATTAACATGCTAGTATTAAAGAGAGAGGGTATGTGTATAAATGCGAAAGTCAAAGGGAGAGGAAATGGAGGGGAAAATGTTTCCATACGCCAGGGTTGAGAGCGGTGTTTCTCCAGGTGTCTGACTTGGCCCTTGGTCGGCCAGCCGGGTCGTTAGTATTGAGCTGTTTTTAGTTTGGGGGTTGAGGTAGTTTGTCAGCTGACCCCTCCCGACCTTCACACATTTACCCTGTCTGTGTCTACTGTCACCCTGCCCTCACGATAGTTTCAGCTTCTGAACTAGAGTATGATTTGAATTTGGAACTGGAGCTCGTAGTGTTTGTGTGGTTTTAATTTTCTTGCGTGCGCTCAGTTCAACCTTGTTTACCTTTTTGAGGAGAGTCTGCGGTGTTGGACACGAATCTGTACGCGTCCCGCTTAGATGATCCACTCAGACAGACTTCTGCTGCTCTGGACCTCGCACGCACTGACGCTGGGTTCAGTCTGGTATTCCCAGTCCTCTTCAGCCAATCTGTGGTAATAGCTGGGTGGTGCACTAGCCTCATCCTCAAGTTTCTCATTACGTTATTGCTGTGAAAATACACCATCAGTCTCCTAGATGCCGAATGTTTGCTTGCGCTGATATTTGTGTGCCTGGCAATCTGATTTGAATAAACCAGTAACCGAGTGCTGTGTTACCAGCTTTTCTCAAGGGCTAGGAGACTGATGCCAACGCTATGATACCAAAGTGACTACATAACGCACTGTTGATTCCAGCACTGTCCACGTCCTCCGCCCTCCCTTTTCTAGCTGCTCACTGTCCTCGTATGCATTGTTTATCGTTGTAAAACCTCCCTTCACCTCCCCTCCCCCAACACCCTGTGCTTGAAGGTGAGGCTAGTGCCAGTGAACTTTGAGGACCCTCAATTCATGGCGTCGTATCAGCAGTCGGCAGCGCTGTACGCCCAATACCAGATGGCCATTCATGGTGATGACTCCAGCGAATGTAGTGAGAGTGAGGTACTGCATGATTATTATTCCACACCTGGTTGGGAGCTGCTGCACACGCTTGTTCAACGTTCTTGCTGCTTTTTGACTTTTTCTTTCTTTTACATACAATACAGTACAATTTTATTTATATAACACGTTTAAAACCAGGGGTTGTTAGATAAAACAGGCACTTTGAAAATACTCTCTTACAATTAGTAGTAGTAACAGCAATATTCATTTTTGTACTGTATTTTGGGGATTTTGTGGTCTAAATGAATAGTCAGGGGTGTACTGGGATTACAACAATTTATTCTGTTCATCACCAGAGCATTGATTGGACCTTGTAAAAACATAAAAAAATGTGTCTGTGTTATAATTTTTAAATTTATATATTATAAAATTGCTGTAAAATATATAAAAGGGCATGGAAAGAGTTTTTCCCTAGGTTTGTTTTGCAGCGAATGAGTAGGAATCATTGTGAATATAAATCCTGACCTAAGCAGTGATAATAATTAATGAAATGCATTAAATTATATGTATACACACCAGGTTTCTCCACGTTCTATATCAATAAACGAAGAGAAAATAAAGTCTAGTCAGGATGCAGAAACTGCTGGACAACCTGAGAGGGCCTTTTGTCCCTCTGGGCTGGAAAAACAGCCTCCTCCTCCTCCCCCTCCTGCCAGCAGGCCGCAGTAAATTACTGAATTCTCCAACTTGTAAAAGTAAGGTAATTAATAAATAATAAAAGCTGTCAGATTGGGCAGACTGTGGCAGATTCTTTCCTAGTGCCATAACCTTAGCTCTATCAATAGAGCGCATGTGTTTGTGCACAGTCTTAGCTCAGGGTAATAACTGTAGTGTAGTTTTAAGAATTAGACTAATAATATCTTCAAAATATAAAATGAAAATGTTGTGCTAAAAACTCTGATGTCTGTTGAGTTTCCAGAAATAAAGTTTTTTATTTTATTGGTTTTCCATGTCGGATAACCACATGTGTAGTGTACAAGCCCAGGGTCACATAAGATTAGGTAATTACTTTCAAATGCAGCCTCATTAATTGTAATTTACCTTCACATCTGTAGTTTAGAGTGGTAGAGAGATGCCTACGCTTTAGATTGTAACAACACAGTTATTATATGGGCTGTAAGTAGTATGAGAGTATGTGTGGAATACACTGCTTTCTGTGCTTCATGGCAAGTCTGTATGGTGGACATAAGTCATGTTCACACCACAAGATGTATGAAATGTGGCTGTGGCACTGGGACCAGAAACATGTTTGTACAAGACGTTGGAGGGGGGGGGGACTTCTTGGATGGGCTGTACCTCACAGCACGCCATATTATAGGTGAGATAATTTCAATAAAAATGCTCCAAAATGCAACGGCATCACAAACATGTTCAAGAGATCTGGCTCAGTGAATCAAATTAGCTACAGTAACACCTAGTCAGCACCCAGCTGTCACTCAAATGCACCACACTCCTAATTATAAGTATGTTATAAAAATGCATCTAATAAAGAGGGGGGATTAGATACATGGTCTAAAACATTAAACTAGTTAATTTCTTCTGGGAGAATGTTTGGGATTGACCAACTGACATGGCTTGAAAAATGATCCCTGTGTGGAAGGGGTGTTTCGTCCATTTACTCCAGTGTTCAAGAATTGATAGCATGACATAAATAACAGTTTGTTTTCGTAGCTCTTTTACCCCTTTCTGAAAACTTGGGACTGAACTTAACTCATCTGATAAAAGTTTCTAAAGTCTTAAAGCCAGGGGTGTCGCTGCTTTACCTGGCAATCATTTGGTCATAATGTAACCTGCAGCTGCCAGCTAGTCAACCACTTTTGGTGAGTGAAATGATCCTACTTTTTACTTGGGTAGCAGCTATCCTTGTCTGTGTGATACGTACAGTCTTTGGATCTTGCTAACCAAGCTTCCTAGTTTTTTCTTCTTCATGCACCAAAAAGACATGACAATAGAAATAAACATAAACATGGCAGTTGCCATTTTACAGTGAGACAAAAGAATACGTGATACTATAGACTTGATCAATTTCTTATAAACAGTCTAGGGCAGTGGTTCTCAAAGTGTGTGGAGCGCCCCACTGGTGGGACGCAAGTTACCTGGCAGAAGCCATGCGGAACTAATGCTTAACATTGGAATCACTTTTACGGCGGAACAAAGAAATTTGCAGCAGTTACATTAATAATTTCCGAATCATCAACCACATGTTCGCACTTTTCAGTACACTTCTTTATTGCAGCTGTCGACTTACACACACGACCGCAGCTTTTCGGCTATGGCCTACACACATCAACAACAACAACAGGACCTAGTTCATTCTGTTTTAAGCAAGCGTGATTGGGGAGGCCACTTCCTCTCAGCCCTGCCACAGCTCTGCAGTCAAAAACAGGCTCACTGCAACCACTAAGAGTGAATAGTATTAAATTCTCACTAAATGAGATATTTTTCATCTCTGTTCACAAGTTTCTAGATTCCTTTTTTATAAGACTAAAACTTAACTTTATTTTTCCATGTTTGGCAATGTTCACATTCTGTTTAACTTGCTGCTTTTTTGAATAAGTGGTGCAGACTAATGAAGCAGTCTAGTGACAAAAGTTACAAATAGTTGTTTGAAATAAAAGTTGTTTGTTTAAAACAAAAATTACTGAAGGATTCATTGTGAATGAGTTTGTTATCCAAATAAAATTGCAACTAGGCTTTTCTGCCATTGTTTTGTTAAAACGGGGCGTGAAAATATTTCTTCCTGCCATGTAGGGAATGATGTAAAAAGTTTGAGAACCACTGGTCTAGAGGATTGACTCAGATTTAGAGGATTGACTCAGATTTAGAGCCTGTGTCAAGTGGTCACCGGAGGAACTGCAGTTTTTGTAAAATCCACTTTGGCTTCATTTTTCAACCCCTGACATTGCTGCTCGATTAGGACACGTTTTTGTCTTCGGTTGCTTTAATACGAACCCTGAAGTAAAGCTAGTCCAGGGCATGTTTGATTGAACCTGAGCGACTGTGGTTTGACGACTTTTCTTTTCTCCAGTTGCGCTACAGTAATTTTATATACAGGGCCAGGCCTTAATTGTTCCCACTCAAACAAATTTGACTTTATTTTACCCCTAGTTGGAATACTGTGACACCCACTCCCGAGCCCATAACACTACTGATTTTATTGTCTTGCCCGTCAAGCTCCTGGTAAACTCCTCTTATTCCCAGAATCTTAGACCATCCCCCATCTCCCTCCACCTATTGTCCTGAATAAGGGAAATTCGTTGTTGATGGCACATTTTGGTGAAATGCCATTTGCCTGCTGCTGCTGCTACTTAGGAAGTTGATCCATTTAGCATTTGTTTAGGTATTTATTAATCCATTAAAGTATTTCCTCGGGATAGGATCTAGATTGTTGTCAGCCTATGTTTGAACAAAGTGATGGGAGACCTTCTGTGTGCGTGCAAGCTGAACTACCTTGCCAAGATTGTTCAATCATTAGACAGTAAGATGTCCTAGAGGGTAATTGCTTTGTTTATTTTAGGATGTATGCATTTCCTGTCATGCCACAAGTGAAAGGCAGCCAGACGTTTTTCTTTCCGCGTCCAGTCATTGTTTCCTGACAGAGTTGAAGCCCACACTGGCAATTATTTAGATGCATGCACATACAAACACTCTCGCTGGCACTTATTGGTCTTAACTGTTGTGCTGAGCCATGACTCTCAGTTCCTGCACATGTGGCTTTCATTTTCAAGAAAACAAACCCTGTTAAATCTGTATTTACTCTGCTTGATGGCCAGTACTTTTACCAAGACACTTGGAGAAAAATATACGGAAAAAGTTGAGACATGGCAGTAACAGTCATCCGTAAAATGGAAGAAATGATTGAAATTTTGGCACAGACTATGTCAAAGCTATTTGCAACATGGTTATGCATAGCAGAGACATTCAATAACACCATCTAAACCACATTGCCGTTGTCCACCCAGTTCCTCGTATTATCTGGAACTGCTTTGAACGCCTTTAAAATGAACAGGGACGCATGTTTGTGAAGGAAAAAAAGAGTGTTAGACATTTAAAGGGTGAAACCTTGTTGCTCAAATAAGTACAGTACAATTTTAGAGAGTACAGAGCACAATGACGAGAGGTCTTAGTAGCAATTAGGCTTAAGCAGATGCGTGTGTTTATATGCAATCTGTGTGTGTGTGTGTGTGTGTGTGTGTGTGTGTTTGAGACGGCTTCTTGCACTCCTAATCGTACACAGATGAGTGTTTGCTGTAAGAAAGGGAGAGTTTGAGAGGAAGTGATGAACTCCATGTGTTCAGTCATTGCTCTGAATAGAGCGTAGTTGATGTGCTGTTGTATTAAGAGATGGAAGCACAGGAGTAGCTGTAGCTGTTTTCATATGTATTCATGCCTCAAGTGAGTGCACTCACACTCGAGTTTGTGTACGTGTGTCAGCCTCACAGAGCTGTTGTTTGTCAGAGAACAAACAGGGGGTCGACCCTGCTGTGCTCCAGGAGAGTGATTTCAGGCAAACCAAGCTACACTGCACTGTTGGTTAAAAGAAGAATTAGAAAGAGGGTCAGGAGGTATTCAGAAAACACACATATGCAAATTTGCATGCATGAGTAAAAGATCACACATATATTTTCCTAATCAAATCAGGATTTCACCACAAGGTCAGTGTGAGATTCTCTCTCACACACACTCAGCAGCACACGTTGTAGCTTGGCCTCTACAGATGATGTCATCTAATAACTGCAGCTGTTGTTCACTTGCTAAACCATTTAGTTTAGTTTTTTTTTTGTGAGTTTTTAACAAAAGTTTCATTTGTGCCCTTCAGCAGTACTGCACAGTGGGAGTCTTTGCTGTTGGTAATTTGTCGACTGGCAGAGCAGTAGTCACTGCAGAGGTAGGAGTGGAAAATTACATTCTACTGGCATGGCTACACAGGCGAGAGGATTTGACATGCAGGTTTTTTGCATGAGCGAAGATCATTGTCGACTCAACAGATCTTGTCATTGCACTTCTGTTGGAACATGTTAAAAAAAACTGTGCAACATACTTTTCTGTTTAGTAGAGGAATTGGGGAAAAATGTGTAGAAATGCATAGTGTTGTCCAAAGATCAACCTAAGCTTATGGGGTTGTGTAGTGGCTTTGAAGAGGAGACTGTAAAGTTCCACTAATATTTGGGAAGTTGCAGGGTGAGAATCATCAGTCCATAGATTTCTGTTCATCCCCACTTCATCTTGGTGTGAGGTTGGGTCCCGGGGAAAGGCATCTTGTTGTAGTATTCAGCACCGCAGGGGACAAGGTTTGTGAGAATTTTATAGCCCACATCAACACCCCTCTGCAAGAGCTGTGTGCACCGTTGCAATGCATGAATAGTTTTGTTGTTTTGAGTGCTTTATGCTCAAGTCTTTTCTTTTGCTGCAATCCTTCGTTTTAAAGTTTTTGCTTATTTTTACGACTTAAATTTCTTATGGATGTCGTCATTTTTCTGAGGAGAGTCCAGTTTAAGTGAGGGAGTTTAAAAGATGGTAAAAATGGTTGTTGGTGTCAGTCAAAGGTAAAATGGAAATAACGGATGACAGTTCATCATCCTTTCGCTGCGCTCTGCCAAAAACATCTCCCATGCTGGTGACACTGCATTAGTGTCACCAGCTCTGTGGCAGATGCAGGAGGAAACGCACACTCTGTTGGATGAGCTCAGGCTGCTGGCTGGGTTTGCGAGGTGCACTAAAGCCAGCACTGCCCCACCTAGTGAACCATGCCTTGAGCAGTCATTACGATTACTAGCTTTACTGCTGTGCACATACTCAGTCACTTACTCACAAGCAGAGCATGTTGGTGCGCTTCTGGGAAATTCTGGCAACTCCTAGAGAACCTACATGTTAATAATAAGCAAAGACAGATAATCTGCCTCTAAATGGCCAACACAGTCAGTCTAGATGCTATAAAAACAAAATAAGTAGTCTCATTTCATTGTCAGCAACTTTGATGGAAATAAAATTGCAAGTGCTAATTTTTATTGGCTTTTGTTTACACTGTTATTCTTCAGGACATAATATAAAGAATTAGATTACTTTGATATACGAGTTAGTCATAATGACAAAATACAATATTTTCAGCACAAATCAGATGGACTGAAAATTAGTGTCACCGTTTAACAAGCGTTCAAACACTAGCTGGTTGGATAGAGTCAGAAGCAACACAAAATAATTATCAATGGAAATGCATTTGCTCGCGGATAATGGTCATCGTGCAACACAATGTGTGTATCGTTGTTTATGGAATCACATCTGGACCCTCACTGTCCGTGTTTACAATACTTTGGTGCTGATATAGATCTATGTTCTGCTCCTCAAACAGTGGACCCCAAGGTAAACATATCTGCAAACGAATGACACAGCTGGATTGTAGCATGTCTTTGTAAAATACGAGCAAGGGTCTGTGTTATGTGCTCATTGAGTAAACTTAAATCTGTCAGTCACCACTTTGGCGTTCTGGTTGTCATTACAAAACAGTTTTGGACCTAAACATGGACACCGCTCTCGACCCCACTGCTAAAAATGAACTCCAGGAAACGGTAGAGAGAATGGGAGAAAAATGACATATTTTCCATCCCCACCCCAGTAATCAATATCTGGTGTGGTGTTTTAAATGAGAGAGAAACTATTTTGACATTGGGAGCACTGCTTATTTTTGCTGTCACGGTGTCCTCCCTGTAGTGCGAGCTGCAGTTGATAGGGTAAATGTTTTCATTTGTATAAATACAGTTTTCCTTTTTATGCCCCGTAGTGAATGGAGGGCTTCATTTGAAATGTGACACCTGAGTAGAAAGAAAACAGGGAGGGATAAGTTATATAGAACAGCAAAGGAGACATGTATGGTTTTCATTTATGCCTTTTTCAAAAGAGCTGCTGACCCAGAGAGCTAACTGTTTTTCTCTCTGTCCCCCCCCCCCTCTGCTTTCCTCCACAGTTCAAGAGATTTCTCTGTGATTCACCGCTAGAGGTATGTATTTCCTTTGGCCTGTTGACAGTTTAATAACCCCCTGCTTTTAAATGTCTCTGTTCATCCAAATGTGTTACCTGGAATGATTTGCCCCAACCAGTAGAGGGTCTTCCTGAAATTACTGTCATGGAGATTATGATAATGACTTGAAAAACGCCCGGGGTTTCGGTTTTTAGTTCCTCATCACATTCAGTCAAAAGAAAGAAAATCTAAACTAGTTGCCCTTTTTCAGCACATACCAACCCTCTACCTTTGGTCTGCCTCTTAGAGAGCCCTCCAGCTGGATTGAGTGGAGCTGAGGGATTTGGGAAGGGGGTTTTGTTTCATATCGGAGGGGTTTTAATTTAGCCCTGTGTTAGTGAAAGGGGGTACCGAAGGAGGAAAATGGTAAATGTGGTGTCCAGATTGCAACTGTGTTGAACATAAGGTCTTCAGAGCAGTCCTTCCCTCTGGCTTTGACGGGATAGAACATACCACATTTATACCACTGCCCATTACTTTGCGTGGCGTGGTACAAATTACAGGTTGATGAGGAGATTGTGTGGGCCCACTTAACAAGAAGCAATTATTCAGGCACCATTAGAAATTTAATGGCAGCTTCTGGTGCATTAATTAGTGAAATCTTGCTCGTAATCTGTTTACTGTGTAAATTTTTAGATGCTTTAATCTGTATACAGAAGGATCTGGAAGAGCATTGGTGGTTAATCTGGTGGTGTTTGCTGTGAAGTGCAAGTTTGTAGTAAGGCATCACTGAGCACTTGTCAGGCCTGTTGAGCTGCAGCCTTCAGAAATACCACTGGACCTCTTGGGTCAGGACAATTACACCAACAATTAGACCCAGGATGGGTACTTATAACAGCCACTTTAATGGGATTGAGGTCCAGAGCACACGCAGACTGACTGACACAAACGCAGTCACTCTCTTTTGCCCCGTGGGCCCCCTCAGGTCTCCGCTAATGAACATCATTAGTGTTTATAGGAAACAAGCTTTTATCACCTCGTCAAGGCTGGCGGCCAGGCAGCTGAATTACACAGTTCTGCACACATGTGCACACCAAAACTGTGCCACACTACCTCGCATATTTTCCTGCCTTCAGTGTCCCCTCCTCTCTGCCGGTTGAGGAGGCCATCTCTTTTCATTCGGCGTCCTCTCGTGCAACTTGTTTTTCTTTCCTTCTTTCATCCTCTCATCTCAGTCTCCCCTGTCTCTCTCCAAACGCTCTCCATTTCAGAATTATTATACATGGATTTCTGCTGTAGCTCTGCGTGTTGGCCTCCATCTGTGTCCAATCAGAGTGCTATTAAAATACACAGACACTCACCACATGGACCAGCAAACTCTGTGGTTCATCAGCTCACATATAAGCCTGCATTTTTTAAAAGTGTATGAGAAATGCATGCTTCCAAATTGTAATTGGGACACAGGTAGTCTAATTTTTTGATTTCACCAAAACTGTAGAGGATTCATGCCGAAACTAAGTTAGCAGAATATGTCATAGAGTTTTTCAGATGCTTTTACACACAAATGCAGAAATGTAAACACACTGGTTCTGCCTGTCTCCAAACATGATGAGCACTTCAGTGCAGGAGAAACACAGGGTGTTATGGGTTTTGTGGGTAATTTCTCCTCATTCAGTTTTCCTTTTATGAATAAAGAACCTACACTCAGTAACAGGGGTGCAGGACTCTGGCTTCTCAGTCTTTTCTTCTGTAGTTTGGTCATCTCTGTCTTTCCCTTCTTAGCATTTTGTCAGAGAATTTTTTTACTATGTAAAGAAATGCAGACTTTTCCAAAAGACTTTGATCACTATATGGAATATACCAAAAAAAGGATGTGAAAAATAATTTTAACCTTATTCTTTTTGGTCTTACATTTTTACAAAGAGGCATTGTCAAATGTTGGAACACAGAAATTTGATTGAATTATGAAAAAAAGCATGTGATCATAGTGAGTTTTGATGCCAGGAACCCATTTCCAGAAAGGTGGGACTGCAAAAGTTGTGTAATGGTCAAACCAAATCAAAAACAGACAAAAATAATATGTAAACAAAAGCACAGAGTTGAACTTAACATGACTCAGTAAAAACAGGTTCCAGAGAACTGCTTTAAAATAAGTAAGGTCTTTCTTGAAAAAGATGGCTGTATTGCAGCATCCACTGTATGGACAAAAGTACTGGACCACCTTCACTTAACACCTACAGGAGCTGCTTGGCCTTGGAAGACCACACCATGAAGCTCCCGACAGTTTTTGCGTTGATGTTGCTGTCAGAAGAGGTTTGGAACTCAAGACTTGACTTTTGTGCACTGTTCATCTCAGCACTCGGTGACCCCCCACTCTGTAACTTTACATGGTCTGACTCTTGAGTTGCTTCCCAAATGCTTCCACTTACAGTTGATCACAGTTTATTGTGAAATATCTAGAAAGGGAGAGATTTCACAAACAGACCCGGTGGAACAGTGGCCTCCTACTGCAGCACCCTGCTCGAATTTAGTGAACTCTTTGAAACGACAAAAGCAGACTGCCAGACTGAGAAATGCAACAAAAACATCTGAACTGAAAGACTAAGAGGTTCCCTTTTAGAGTGTATTGCCCCATAATCATTACATTATCACTTACCACTAATGGTGCTTTCACAGGTGTGCAAGTTACCTGTGCTTTGTGCGCCATCACGGATGCTGTCGCATATGTTGCTTTCAAGCAAGGTGGTCCCTAAACCGCATGCAGCATCCATGAATTTATTTCAGTGGGGGAATATTGTGCATTTAGCAACAAACTGTTTCAGTGGTCATTAGAAGTGCTGCTGAGCCAGTGTTGGGATTTCCTCTGCAGTACTGTCTGTTTTTAATGCACTTTTATCAGTGGATCTTCTCTCTGACCAATTTCTTATTAATATTACTCATACTGTGTTCACACACATCTCAGAATAGTCTGCAAAACGTCTCATTGTAGGTGGTGTTATCATCCAAATTTCTGGAATTTTGCATTGTAAAACAGTATTTTTAAATTCCTGAGCTACTTGCCCACACAGCCTTTTACAGAGTGGTGAAACTCTCCACATCTTTACTTCTGAGTGCCTCAGCCTCTCTAGGATACTTTTTTTTTTGAACACCAAATTCACTTATTAAACTTTTTAGTTGTGATATGTCCCTGTTCTACCACTTGGTTTTACAGTCATAAAACTTTTTCGCTATTTCTTTTAACCTGAACTAACCTTTTAAACGTGTTGCTTATGCTAAATTAAAACTTTGCATATATTTATGTTTATCTTTGCACAATTTTCAGTGAAATATAAGACAATCATTGTCATATTCATTTCTGTTCACATCATCCGTCTTTATTTTAGGCTTCTTCCTTAAAGCTAACTTAACCATTCAAGTCTGAGATAAAGTGTCTATAAAGGCAATATAAGCTCATTTTTGTCCTTGAAAGGTTCACAAAATCCAATTATTCTAATTCAGCAGAAGTTTAACTAAATGTCTCCCTGAGCAGGTTGAAATAAACACATGGTATACCACCTCATGGCTTTATCAAGCGTGCTACACACATAGCCCTGTATTTAGGCCATATGTGAGTGATTTGGGGCTGCTGGGAAGCTCTGGGGTGGTTAGAAGTGTTCCAGGGAATGTTTAGATTGTTGTCACAGTTGCAAGGACACAACCATTAAGCTGTCGTTTGAGGTGATGCACAGGTCAGTCTGACAAGATCAGGCTTGAGCGCGGTACGAGCTTATAAACAAACACACTCTCATACACACACTCAGGCAGCCATTGCATCTCTTGCATGAGCACTCACATTCATAATAGCGCTCAAGTGTGTATGCTGAACGTGCGTTACGAAAAATCATCTTGTGCTCTTTCCTTTTGACAAAGCCTCTGGTGTTTTAGTTTTAATGGTGCTAGAACATCAGACCAACAGTTTCCCCCAGCTATGGATACACACATATTTAGAGGCACTCAGCTGTTGGATCGACCAGTGCTTTATCGAGTTGCGGTCATTGTTGTCCTCCACCATCGCCAGCTGACTGTTTGCTAAAAATGTTCATTTTTATTCTTAAATCATCTGTTGGTCGCAGCTAAAGCTCAATAATACCTCATAATCTACATCTAACGTCATGTGGCCTCTGTTATGGAGCTGTTAGGTAATTTAATTATCCTTTCCTATCTACACAAGCACACGCACGCACAAAAATGACCTCTGGTATTGATTGTGTCAGGCAGTTAATTACACCTGGGTACCCAAAGGCCTGACCTAAAGGGATATAACTTTTATTACCAGTTCTTCTTAAGAAAACTGTCAGTCTGCTGGGGTCACAGAGCTGCAGGGAGGTGTGGGAGTGGGAGTGGGTGAGAGATTCTATTTGGTCAGGTTTAACTTGGTCAGAGCGCAGGGCCAGTGGCGCACTGGATTAGTGATCTAGCTCTCTCAGTGTTGTGATAACTAGCAGCGTCTGTGCTTCTTAACTGCGTCCAGATGAAGGCTGGAGAAGGAGACGGATCCTGTTACTAGTACGCTGAAGAAAGACACATACACAAACATAAACCAATACCCTTGCTTAATATGACTTTTAACCCCAAACCCCAAGCCTCTAGATTTAAGCCTCTGGGATAAAAGAAGTCAGCTGACTTGATTGAAAAACCCAGCATGCACTAACCCTGTGAGAAACGCAACGTGTTACAAAAACTTAACAGTTTCATTAATGGAGGGAGGCCAAGGCGCATGGGTGCTCACTTACACCCGCATTCTTTCGTGCCGCAGGGGGAGTGCAGACGCAGACATATATAGGAGGAAAGCTTGGCAACACTCCACTACCACCTGGTGAAATGGATTTTGCTCATGCAGGGTCTTTTTATTAAAATCCTCTCCCGGAGTGTTGCTGTGGCCAGTCCCCCCACTCCCCCCCCCAACAGCCCAACTCTGCTCCTGCTTTCACTCCACATTTGGGAGCCATTAGCAGGCCGAACGTGAGGCTACTGTACACCCCCACACATAATGCGTGAGGCCTGGCAGGGAGAAGCACGGTCTGTAATACAACATCATACAGGTGTGAGTGTGCAGAAAAGAAAGTGGATCAGTGCAAGAAAGTAAACGAGCGCTATTAAACACCACATTCTCGTTCCTCTGCGATTTATATATTTTTACATGCAAACTATACTGTGCACTAGAGTACTGCTATTGTTCTGACCAGTGACTATTTTCTCTTAAACTTTTCACTCTGTTTGCTTTCCCCCAGGCAGAATATGCTCCAGATGGGCCTGAGGTGGGCTACGGCTCCTTCCACCAGCAGTACTGGCTGGATGGACGTATTGTGGCAGTGGGGGTGATTGATATCCTGCCTACCTGTGTGTCCTCCGTCTACTTGTACTACCATCCCGACTTTAACTCACTGTCTCTGGGCTCCTACTCTGCTCTCAGGTTTGTTGTCAGGACTCAAACACAATGTGCTTGCTGTTTACGTGAAAAACTGCTGTGAAGACAGAAGCCACTGGGACATGATGCCAGTGGTGTTTTTAAAGGGCTTGGCGTAATAAAACCTCACCGGTGCGCACATTACTCACGGCAGCACCACAGAGTGCGTTACAGTTGGTCTTAAACGACCACAGCAATGATTACGAAATGCAACATGCGGCTCCTTTTAAGAAAGAAGTTGCTTTGTCTCTTATTCCTTTCATTCTTTCTTCCCTAATGTCTTTGTTCTGTCTTTGATGCTTTCTCACTTTCCTTCCTCTCATGTTTGCCCTCCTCTTAACCTCTCTCTCCCCCCCCCTGACTCTTGGTCTATCTGGCTCCTCCCACATTTTATCTTTAGAACTGTATACTATAAGTGCCACAGTACTCTAGGTCAGGGAAAAATACCTCTTTCTTCACACTTGATTGGTTGAGGCAGTGCTCTGTTTTGCGGTTCAGCTGATGACAGTTCTCTCTCCCAGGTTGAAATAAGAGAACTCACGCATACTCTATAGGTGCACATGTCTGGCGTTTCCTGTTAAAATGTAACCCAGTAATGCGAGAAAGGCTTTTAAAAATTTCTCTGCACATATGCGAGGGACCGGGTGATCTTCGCTTTAAAGTTCGTGTGCACAGGTGTTAAAATGGGAGTTGTGAGCGTTTATGTGCAGTCGCGCACAGGATCAGACTTTTTTCTCATATAGAGGGAACACCTCGGTCATCCTAAGCACACAGCCCACCCCTCCATCACTTATTATTGTAAGAGTCTGACTCCAAGAGTAACACAGAGTGCTCGACGTGTGGAGGAGGCCTTGAAGAAGGGAGCCAGCGGGACTGAAATCCTCCCACGTGTTTACAGACACCAGAGAACGGTCTTTGATCAGGTCTTGGACACTCCCTAGTCTGCTTGGACTGGCTGACTCTGTTCAAAACCTGCTGTACAGAACGCATGTGGCCCTCTCACCCCCTCTCTGGTCTTGTGATGCATATATTCATTATGTTAGATGGCGTTCCTGCAGCAGGCCCAGTTGGATTGGAAACATAACTTTTCAGCCACAATCAAGTTCATTCTAGTGTTTAAAAAAAAAAAAAAATCAGAGGAATTGTACGTAAAAAAAAAAAATGCTGGTAATTTTCCTCTCTTTTCTATTTTTTTTAGTAACAAGAGTTCATGGAAAGTTCTGGAATTTTACACCATTACCTCTTTGGGAGTCCTGATTTGTGTATTTACTCACTTATCATTTTACAAATCACGTGTAGCGTTTAGATAATGTCAGAGCTGAAATAAGATACGCCTGCACGTCAGGCATTACAACAATACTAAAACAAGTACAGCACTGTGCGCGCTATTTAGCTGTGTCGCTATGCTTGTATGTGCGATTCAGCAGGAGAAACAGGAGAGGGAGATGTTGAGAGATTTCTCATAAGAGTGCTGCTCCTTCTGCCACAGGCCCCCGAGGACAGAAGGAAGAGGGGAAGAAAAGAGGCGCATAATGAGGTGCCTGAAGCACTGCGTACAGGGAGCACAGCTGGTGTTAAACCTGGATCTCTCTTACGAGGATGTCCTGATTATGTTGTCGTCAATGATCCCAAACCAAAATATACTATATTTTTTAATCAGGCTTAATCTGATTCAGTGTTTATATTTTTCTGTAAAATGTCTTGTAGTTGAATGCGCACATAGCCTATGAAAAGTAAAAATTAAAAAAAAGAATTCTAAATAACTAAAATATCCACTTTTAAAATACTTAAACATAATATGTTTGCAGTATTTTGCAACAAAATTGCAAAAATTGCCATTTGAGTCCAATCAACATGGAGTCGAACGGCAAAAATTCCTGCAGTGGCCCCAGTTTTAACCACATATATATTATATAGATTACTCATAAATGCTGACACAATAAAATAAGTATCTGTGTGCTTCCCGTCACTAGAAGCTCAACACAGTTCTTGTAAGATTAGGTAGCAAAATGTTTCCACGTGCATGCAAAGCTGCAAAAAGCATCTCATAGCATGCATTATTGTGAACCGTGTGCTTGCGTATGCACATCAGTATGAGGGAAGCTGTGCAGGAGCAGAGGGCTTGATAATTGGCTTGTGCTGGAGTGTCAGATGGCTGAAGAGGGGATAATGGCGGACTCAAGCTGCTGCCATGGGGGTGGAGGTGGGGGGTGTGAAGGCCTCAAGTGAAGGGGGCCTATGGCTTTTTGTGAATGGGCCCCTCGCCTCTCTTGACCCCCCCTTCTTCCCTGATTCAGGCCTGCCGGGCCCTTTTGTGGTGAGGGGATGGGAACCCAGGAACCTGGCAGCAAGCGGGTGACCTTCTAGCACCTCTCTCTTGCTGCCTCTCTTCTCCGTCCCTTTCTCTTTCTTGACCCTCCTCTTTTATATTCTCCTCCTGTTCCCTCTCTCTCCCCCTGTCTCCTCCCC